GGGTTTTAGGGTTTAGGGCTCAGGCTCAAGGGGAGCTGTCCGGAGCACATTAATCGAGAAGTGTCTCTGGAGCTGCTCGAGAGTTTGTGATCGTTTTTGTGGAGTCGTCAGACACTGCCATGCGGGAGCCAAAAAAGAAGTGTCTCATCCTTGCCCACATTGGAAGGACACGCACAAACCGATGTGGAAGAAAATCAAAGGAGGCTTAGGGTGATGGGGAAGGTTGGTTAGGTTGTGTGCCTAGTGCAGGTGGTGGTGCTTAAGATGAAAGTGAAGACGTGCCCCCCACCAGCCCACCAGGTTGGGGTCCCCTAAAGCCTAAACTCCAGGTTAAGGTAGGCGTAATCTAGCTATGCATCGGAGCAAACCAACAGAATCCTGACAGTCCCGAATTTGTTGTATGATTATTGAAGGCTTAGGCTATAGACCAAGCTGCCAGGTTTTCCCGACTTGCCAATTTTAGTTGATAAAGAAAACTTACACTCCAAACCCTGAAGCTCAAGATTCAAATTCACCCTAACTCATGCCCTGGCAGGCCACTTCATCTAAGTACGCCCTCTGCCCTGGATAAACCCCCTAAAGCCTGAAGCCCTAAACCCTAAACCCTAACCATCCTTGAGACACTCTTTATACAGTGCAAGCAAGCGAACCCATGCCCGAGAGAGATGATCCAGAAGTGGGGTTTAGGGGTTTAGGATTTTTGGGTGGAGGGATTAGGGTTTTAGGGGATAGAGTTTAGGGGACAACAAAACATGTGCAAAGTTCAGCCAATGAACCCCTTCAAACAGCTGCAGCAACTTCTGGAAGGGAGACGCAGGTCAAGTCGCGCCATCGCACGATATGTGAAACAATGCAGCATATGAAGCTTCTGCACCAGGGAGGGCGGAAGTACCCTTAAACCCTCCAAGCCCAAAATGCGGCTAAGGGTTCTAAAAGCGAACTTCCGCATGTTGTTAAGTAGTGCGAGACCCGACAAGAAGGGCAGGTGTTCCGATCACTTCTTAAGTCCCCCGCCCCCCGCCAGTTTTTCAGGTCGCAGTTTAGGACTCCCCTTCTTTAGAGTTTAGGGCTTGGGGTTGGGGGCCCCAGTTTAGCCTTGAGCAGTCTTGCTTGAATCAGGTTGAAGTGGATGGGCAAAGCAGAGAGGTCCTGGCCAGTTTGGATGCATCCCTGATCAACCGGACATCGCTGCGTCCTAATCCCTAAACCTTAAACTCCTAACCACTATACCGTACCTTAAACCCTAAACCCCAGAGGACATCACTGCGTCAGCAGCGGATCGACCTCGACGACTTTGCCATCTATCTTCGCCTATCGAGCGAGAGTCCGGGTCCGACTTGGACATGCGCTCCTCAGCTGGGCTTTAGGGCTTCAGAGCCTTCAATGATAACAAGAGGAATCATCATCATACAATAATAACAACGAATAAATAGTTATAATAAATCTTGCAAATGTAACTATAACTGCAACAATAATGAAGATAAATACAAATATAAACATAAATAAAAACAGAAATAGCAGCAGTAATAAAAACATTATTGTTACTAGCAAGTAGAAATTATCAATAATAGTTAATAATCGCTGATCAGGAGCCAAAAGTAATAGTAAGTAATAATTACTAATCATAATCAAGAACAATAATAACAAAACATAAGAATAATCATAGTAATTGTTGTGATAACAACAATAATAATCATCATCATCATCATCATAATCATAACA